CGCCTTGGTGGGGCAGCCCCTGCGTGTTTTCCCCCCCAGGAAATACATCTGGAGGACTTACCACTTAACCTACGCCGGAGAGAAGCTGGCAGATGACAGGAAGAAGCTGAGAGAGTGAGTGGGCAGGGGTCTCCCGGCCTGGTGAGGCAGCAGGAAGGCAGCAGCCGGGCAGGTTCACGCTGTCCATGCAGCCTGCACATGGGCATGGGTTTATCTGTGCCGCTGTGCCAGGGGCCCAGGGACCTCTGGTCTTCATCTAGTCCAACATAGAGGGTGGTGCTGGAGTTCTCTCCAACAGATTGTACAAAAACATGAAAAATCCCTAGGAAGACAGCTCTACCTAAGGCAAATCTCCTTGAAAGATCTATCCATGAGTAGGCTGGGGGGTGTATTGCAGTTTAAAAGGCAGATCATCACATCCTGGAGTGCTGGCAGGAGGGTCTACTCATGCGGTGAGAACTTGATTTTGTTCTGCACGGCAGTCTGAGTCCATCTCTCCAGGGGCAAGAGGAGGCCAACAGGATATCAGCCAAAGGCAGTGGTTCCTAGGGAATTAGCATGTAACAGCATAATTCTCTGTTCAGGTACGGCATTAGAAACCGCGATGAGGTCAGCTTCATAAAGAAACTTCGAAAGTAGCTTGTCAGGTAAGTCCTGAAAACCCCATTAAGAACTACCTGCTCACATTCATTTTCCCAGGGCTTTAGGGCAAGTGCTTGCAGCAGCTGGTGGGGTTGCTCCTCACTGCTTAGCAGAGCATTCCTAAATGCCCACATCTGCACGAGGCTCACACCCTGGTCTGGTCCATTTCCACATTTTGGATTTGTAGCCTGCGTAGCTCTTCACAGGACTGGATGCTACCACAGCTATTGTTAACGCTGCTGCTGCTCCTGCAATGTGGCATCTTAGTGCTGGCAAGGGCTTATCTCTAAGCGTGTTTTACCTCTGGACTCTGACTCTGCTCCCACCATGTGCTGCAGCTCACTGAGTGCAGTGCTTCTTTGTTTGCCCTTAAACTGCTTGAGGATGTTGTTTCATTTTTGGCTTCATCACCTCTGGAGCTCCCTGTCAGGAATGGTGCAGGCTGCTAAATAATCTGTAGGATGAAGAAGCCCTCTTTGTGGCTCCTGTTGATAGCCATCACCCAGCTTATTTGATCCTCCTCTGTGTCTCAGACTATCTGCAGACAGAAGAGAGCAGCCGTCCTCGTCCCCTGCCCCTAGTTCCTTTCTGTACCGTGAGAGCACCCACAGATAATAGAAAAGTCTGCTGGGTGCATATAAGCAAATGCAATAGCAAACGCAGCATCGTGTTCTCCACTCTTCCACAGAGGGTGCATTTTAAGCCATCTTCCTGCAAGCTAGAAATAAAAGATATCTTAGCTTATGTCCTGTATCTTTTTTTGTTCTCATATTCTCCATTTTCTGGTTTACGGAAACTTGCATTCAGTTGATTCATTGTTCTGGGAAGACAGGACACACTGTTAGACAAGTTTTGTTCCTGGTATTTTTGATGCATCTGAGATGCTTCCAGCACAGGAAGTGCTGTAAATATGTGTATATTTATCTGTAGGTAGCCCCTGTGGCCATCATGATTTCAGTATCAGACTGTCATTTAAAATATATAAATATATATGTATATAAAAATGCATGGTGTGGCCAAGACTTTCAAGCTTAATAAGTGTAAACTTGTGCCACTTTATTTCCCCCCTCCCGCCCCGAAAATGCATCTAAAACTCTGAAAAGCAGTCGTAATATCAGCTTTCCAAATGTGTGGTTCCTCATTTTGTTTTGCAACTCTGTCTGGATGAGAAAATGGCATTTTGTGACAACAGTGACTTTTTTTCCTCTTTCAATGCTGTCATATTCACAGCATCCACAAGAAAATGTGCACACAGGAGCTCTGCCTGGTGGTGCCTCTGACCACTGGTCATTTATGGCAGTGACTGATCCCCACAGACACTCTAGACCTAGTGCTGTGGTGATATAAGAGCCCAGCATATGGCAACTATTGTCCCTATAGATATTTTTTCTGTCTTTAACAGAGGGAGAAGAGAATGCAGCTGTGCCAAGACCAGACTGGGGATTCTGCACCTTCTTAGAGGAAAAGGCTGTCGCATT